TATAAGTGGTCTGTCGTAAATTGAGAGAATTCGGAAAATGTCTGGAACTGACATTGTCCCAGTTCGCCCCTGCTGGTCTATAAGCATGCTGTGCTTCAGTTAGTAGTCCATAAAATAAATTGACATTTGCTTGTAATAGACCTACAAGTGGAGCTGGTAAAAGCTGCTTGTCTAACTTTGGGTAAAGGTATAATTTTCGACTTTTTTTTTTTTTACTCCAGACAGGTGCTACTGAGTGAGCATTTCTAAAAAAAATATTACATCTTGGCTTGTAAAGCAGCCAAGCAATCAAACTAGTAAACATTTTTAATTAACTTAATTATCTCTTGCAAGTTTTTCTGTTTTCTAAATACTTGTTTGCTTTTTTTTAACTGTATATTCTTGGGAATTCCTTTTAAAAAACAAAGCCTTAAATACAAGCTCTATTTGACAAAGACATTTCTCATCATAACTTCGACATTTTCATTTTACCTACTCACATACTGTTCTTACGATTTGACTACAACTGGATTCAAATCAATGGCTCCAAAGGCTCTGACTCAGTCCAGGGCCCCACCTCCTCAATGGCTGTATCATTTCAAGCCAATTAACACTTGTGTTGGTGATAGCGCTAGTGCTGGAATCGCTGACTGCATGATCAAAGAAAGGACTCTCCAAGAAATTGGAGTATGCATGTGTCTGTATAGATTGCCAGTATAAAGGCTCTTGCACAGGAGAACTGTCACTGATCACAGAGAAAGACAGGCTGACCCCTCAACATGACATTATTTCAACAGCAGAGTAATCATGGGGATATAATTATCCATTTAAAGGCAGCAGTATTACAGAACTGCAGAACTGACATTATGCATAACTGAGGAGATAAAAAAAAACTGTACGTGCTTTCATTCTGTATTTTGTACAGGTCCACAGGCACTGCCATCAAAACAGCAGCCTTCATGCATGTATGCTAAATAGCTATCTGACAAGCCCCCCTGCAGCAACCTATTAAAATGTACTCACCTGAAAAATATATTTTAAAATTCTTCCATTCTCTTGTACGTTATATTTGTGGCACCTACAATACCACATAAATAATTAATTCCATATATAAATGAACCATTCCGATTATTATTAGCAAAAGAGTTTTTTTTGGATTATTTTGAATTGTGTGACTGCTGTAGCGTTGGCAGGGTTGTATTGTTTTTGTCAAGAGTTGTTGTTTTTGTCAAGAGTTGTATCCCCCCTGATTTTTTGTTGACATTTCAGAAAGACTTGAGGATATAGCTGAGACCTCTGATTCAAGCCTTAAGTCATAATTCTTAATGAACATCTTTTGAACACAGGCATATTAATTGTTTTGTGTATTAATGTCATGCAGGGATTATGTACACTTTATAGCAGCAATGTTCTTACCACATTGTGTATATCAAGTGGTTGTCACGTTGTCCTCATAAAATAAATAACAGTTTTATGTAGTTACCGTACCCACCACTGAGGTGACTGAGGTCCTGACCTATTTTTTTTTCGAGGGGTATACAATAAGAGTTATGAAATAATTGCCAAAAGTAAGTACTTGATGCTTTGATACATGCCCCAAATCTTTAACTATCTTATGTTGTATTTAGGGTTAGGGTTGTGGTAAATGAGGGTACTGTCATCTTTTTTGTTCCAATCCAGAGAGTAGCACTGTACATTTATTTTTTTATTGTAACATTTTCAAATCATTGGCACTGCTTACTGCTCTAATTAATATAACCTGTAACTGTGCCAGCGGACTATAAATTTGTCTGTTCTGTTCTTCCAAAAATTCTAAATGAGTGTATACAAATTGTTATAGATGACAGAAGTAACACAGAAAAGGGAAGAATTAAAGTATAGATTTCTTGTTTGGGTTCATGCTTGAATTCTGGACTTGTGTTGCTGCTTTAAAAGCGTTTAAAAAGACCCAAGATGTAATGTGGAATTATGCAGTTAACTTGCTATTTGTATATGCAGCTCTACATGGAAATTGTGCACTAAAAAGAGTCACCAGCAATGGGCACAGAACGGACACTATCATGGCAAATTTAATGATAGAACTCTTTTGTGTTATTTGTGGACTGAGCACAAAACGTGTTCTAAGATCCATCTGACCATCTACACAAAGTATTGTCTTAATCCTGCTGAGACAGGGACTGCCCACTGTTCCGATGGCTGATAATTCCAAAACCCCAATGGTCAGAAAAATATCACACTGGACCAAAAGCCCATTTGTCCGACAGCCCGTTATCACACAAGCAAACCCCCACTGCTCCACAGGACCGTTGTTAAGAAAATATACAGACTGTCTGGAGTTTTTTGCCTAGTTCTTCAGGTGATCTTATTTAGCTGATCCTTGTCATCATGGTAACAATACCAATAACAACAACACGTGGTTAACAATGTGAAACAGTGACTGGTTAGGTTTAGGTATCTGGGTTTTTGAATAATGGGCTGACTTGATGGTGACTGACTCTCAAGTCCAAAGTCTTAAACAAATTTCAAATGCTTCTTGGGTTTGATTTTATCATTGGGGAAAGTGTGGCTGAGATTAAAATCAGAATTATGACAATAAAGTCAATAGAGAAACTTAAAGAAAAAATAAATGTCTATAAAATGAAAAAAACTGAAACTGTAAGAGAGCAATTTTAGATTCAAAATGCAAAATTACAGCAAAAACAGTACACACAAATGGAGCGAAGCCTGCGAGCTAGTTCAGGCAGTCAACTTGAGCTGTGCTGCTATACACACAACATGCCTCACTCCATAATCACTAACCAAGCGCACCCTTCCAATCGGGGGTTTATCAAAACTGAACAATATCCCAGCTCTCCCTCTGCTCTGTCAATGCGCTGTTGCCCTGCATCCGTATTGCTGCTGCTGCTCTGTAAGCTATTGCTGCCTGCTGCGCTGTAAGCCCCACCACCACCCCAGCACCACGCTGTAGGCTCTGCTAGGGGTATAGGTATTTGCACATCACTCCCAATTCTTTATGTAAAATATCCTGCGGGGAGGGATGATGGTCGAGCCTAGACGCCAGAATTAAATATGCTATACTGCTTTAATTTAAACATTTCAAACGTGAGTTGTCCGACTGAACTGTAAGATATCATGGAATTGGACCCAAAAAGGTACCAGGTACCCTTATTTTATAACATAAACACCATTAAAAAAAAATTTCAACAAGGACATTTCAGAATGTCTTCTCAGCATTGGCTGTTTTACACGGAGACGCAGTTACGCAGGGATTTTAGTATATCTCACCAACTGTGATGTACGGGCAGGCATCAAAGGCATCAGAGATTAGCTATTTTAGTAATCAATTTCTGACCCTTTGTATACCCCTCTGAGGTCCAGACCTGAGACCTCAGTTGTGGGTACGTCATGCTGCACCTGAGGGTACCTGAGGGGTGAGATTTTAAGTTTCACTTGAGACTGGTCCAAAGCAAAGACACACTCTCTGGTGAAGTGGTGAACTGAAATATTTTTAATAGAAACCCAAAACAAATACTGGAACCAAAGCGGGCATGGAGAGGCAGGGAGCGGCTGCAGAGGATGTCTTCAGGAGACTTGCACAGGCAAAACAGACTCAAAGTAGGTGAACAGCATGCCGGGTTCGGAGCATGGAATCTTCCGAACAGCAAGCAGGAGAGGGACCAGGCATAATGAAGATGAAAAGGGAAGGGCTGATGAAAACAGGTGTGCAACAGGAGGAAGCCAGGAACCCCCTTGGCCCACCAAGAATCTCTGCAACAGAACAGAAAAGGAGGAGGGGAACAGAGAGAACAAAAACAAAAACACAACAACAAAGACATAATAAACCTAAACCATAACAGGGTATCTCAATAATAAATAATAATTAAAATCATCATTTTCTTGTAAATATTCTCATTCAACAGAACAACATCATAGCTTAAAAAATTGTCAGATAGTAAATATCTAAAGCTGAAAGATTACCATTAAGTGCATGGCCTGATCCTGCCACTTTAGTTGACATTTTTTGGGGAATTGTATATCATAATACTCACCAAAATCTTTTTAAAATGGGCGTATTTATTTAAGGGGGAAACCGTTTAACATCAGACTCTGTTTACAAGTGTATAATTACTACTACATTATGCTAAAAAAAGTGTATGATGGCCCCAGCAGAGCTGTGGTGAGGTCCTCAGAGTCAGCATCAGTTTGGGTTGAAGTTTGAAAATATTTAGAAAGGAGGTGAGCTATCAGACCTCTTCGAGCTGCTCCTCCATCTCTGGCTAATGCTAAGTGCTGGACGCGACAGTTGGGTGCCACTAGCATAACACACTCGAATCTCAGCTGTAGATGCATTTGTGTAAGTCGGTTGGTTACCAGTTTACCATGGAAAAATGGTGGTGAAATTAAAAAAGATGATTCTGCTGCATCAATTTTGAATACTTTTAAGAACATTGTAAGTCTGAAACATTGTACAGAAAAGCAACAAGTTACTGTGGTGGAAATTTGTTTAATAAAGCATACAAAGTATGATCTTGTAGTACGGAGGTTTTATTCAAGGTCATCCATGAAATGCGTCTCAACGCAACCATCCACACTCTCGTATGTGAAAGTCTAGAAAGAGCCCCAGAGAGCTTTGGCAGTAAACAGACAGATAGTGTGTTGAGATTATCATGTCCTTGGCTCTTAGGAAGTCTCAACATCCCACTTTTACTTGCACATAGGGAAAGTGAGTTAGGGCTAAAGGTTATATGCATATAACAGCCTCTTTAAACAGTTGCGTATGGTTTTACATTGACCAGGGTCAAAGGGTTATATATGCTTAAAAATTGCCATTACAGTACTCTTTTAACCCTCATAATGTCTTGGGGTCTTGAACCCCATGCAATGTTTCTTATTATCATAAATTAGTGTTTACTGACCATAAATTGTAGAAATTTGGTCAAGCTTGGTGGTAATGAGTTGGTATTGAGTTTGAAGCTAATAAGGGTGAAACACAGTATCGGATCATAATTCATACCTCAAACCAGACTGGGGTCAAATTCATGATGGAGGAACACAACTGCATAGTCAATGGGAAGGTATTATGAGGGTTAACTAGAAATCTGACCCTCTGTGATTAGTGAGCTACTACTACAACTATAATATGATTGTTACAAGTTTAACTTTGTTTACAATTATTTGTATACACATACATGCAAATCCATGCAAGAGAAGTGCTAACCAGGCATGATATAATCTTTTGCTATGAAGAAGGTATGAAGGTAGAGCGGGTCGTCCACTAATCGGAGGGCTGGAGGTTCAATCCCCGGCTCCTCTCGCTGCATGTTGAAGTGACCTTGAGCAAGACACTGAACCCCAAATTGCTCCCAATGCTGTGCATCATTGTATGAGTGTATATGAATGATTAGTTTCCGTTCTGGTGAGCACTTGGCACCTTGTATGGCAGCCACTGCCATCAGTGTGTGAATGGGGGTGAGTGTGGCATGTAGTGTACAGCGCATTGAGTGGTCGAAAGACTAGAAAGCAGCTATATGAGTACAGTCCATTGACCATTTTAGTAGGGATTATGAGACTCACAGATTTGTATCGATGCACCGGCATACATTTAGGATGTGGCTGCCCTGATTGAAAAAGTTTGCATCAAATACAATTTGGGATGAATTCAGGATGCCCTGTTTTGAACATCTTTAAAATCTTTTCTATATCATTACTAACAGAGGCTCTGTGCCTTTATTATTTTGAAATGTGACTAACAATTTTATATTCAGATTGATTCCTCCTCTCTAAACTGTTTTTCAAGGAGCTCTAAGAAAAACCAAAATAAAATCAAACTATCTCTCCCATACTGAATTGCATAGCATCATATTCTTTTGCATCATATAAAACAATGTGGAATCTCACTGCATCGCAACAGGGGTGAATCGTATCACTGGTAGCTGCTTCATATGTATCTTTACTGTGTCGGATCATTGGCAATGCATAAAGATGTATATTGCATCAGCTTTAAATGGAAATGCACATCCCAACAATTTAGTATTAAGCTACTCTTGACAACTGAATTAAATGATGCCCAGGTTTTCGTAGATTACATCATCAAGAGACTGGTCTGTGGCATTTGTTGTGCTCATACTGGCAGTAGGAGAGGAAGAAGAAACAGAGCAGTAAGAATCGGTGTTAGAGGATGAAGAAGGACTAGATGATGGTCCTGTTTTGCAGACTTGAGCATAAAGGTGGGCAAACGGGTCTGGTTTGCTTTCTTTTTTATGAGACACTTCTTCCTTGTTGGTCACAGGTTCTGTATAAATGGGTTCATCATCTGCAACACACTTTGTTTTCCCTTTACTCTGACTGAGAGTTTGTTTATTCTGGACTGGACTGATTTTGTCATAGACCTCTGAATAGACTGAATCCGGGTGATTGATGTTAAAGTCGGAATGTGAAACGGAGGAGTTGGGTGGGGGGGTTAGAGTTCTTCTTGAACTTGGGGGTGTGAGTGGGAGAACACTTACAGGGTCTACATACAGAGCCATGGTTGGTTGTGGTTTTGGTACGGATTGAATGCAGTCAGCTGGGTCAGCATATACAGCTTCTGATTGGTTATCAAGATGTCGTCCAGAGTGGCTATCATTTGTGGGGACCATTGGAAGAGGCATGAGGGTGATTGGTGCTGGCTGTGCTGATACACACTCTGATGAACCAATCAGACTTTCTTGAGCATGCGCACTCTCATCGAAAGCATCAGGTTTCCTTTCCTGTGTCCTCAGTTTGCTTTCCAGACTGGCAGCCATACTGATCATATCAGGTATCTTGGGGAGAGGGGAATGAGCCTGTATGTTGGTTACAATAACTTTATCACCGTCTTGGTTTTGGTTGCCAGAAGTAACAGTTGAAGTCTTCCGTTTGATGGTGCTCTGAATCAGGGAGAATATGTTCTCAGCCCGCTGCGTCTCAAAGGTGAAGGTTCCAGGACCAGAGTCACAGCGTCTACCTGCTTCAATGGTTAAGGCCAGCTGGTAAAAACAAGAGGCATATAAATCCTTTTCTTAAAACCAGTAGATCTAAGAATGTAATAATGCCTACCCTTGTGAAATTTGTATAATTCAGTTTTAATCAACACCATATAAGCAGTAAGAGGGCAAGCTGGTTTATGATATTGGAAACCTTACCTTATCTTTTCCATATCGTCGCAGCAGTTCGTAGGGCCATTCTCTAACTATTTTCTTCTTCTGTGTTTCTCTCAGCAGCAGTGATTCTCGCCCCACCTGCAGCCAGTATGACCCCTGCAGACCGCAACGTGTTGCTGCGTCGGTCCTCTGAACCACCACCCAGAACTCTGAGGCTGTAAAGAGGAAAGAGAATATTCTTTGTGTCATTACTATGCAAACAAAACAAGTTCGCTATGACGCACTTGCGTATACATATTTTTTGCCTGAATGTTTTCATCCTATTCACAGCAAAGTGGTTAACTGGTGTAGGTACCAGATGTGCTCACCCTGCCAGATCTGCTCAGAGACCTGCATTTACAGATGACCAAGCACATTAACACATTATGATTTGGTTGTGCTGCCCAATCCTTACATCCTGCTCAATTGGTACCGCACATGTGCAGCTCTGAACAGAGATGCAAATAAAGAAAGATAGCTCACTCTTTACCAACTACTGTCACCCGGTCCGGAAAAACGATGCGTTGGATTCAGAATGTTATTAATTAATTATTTAATCGGCTTTTGGATGGAGTCTGATGAGGTATAAAATAGGAGCACATAGGTATGATGGTGTCATATATGTACATCACATCTATAAGCAAATATGTGAGAGACAAACATGGACCATACACTACAGTGACAAGCACAGTCTTCAGATAACTTAGCTAACATTAGCAAAAGTGCCACCAGATTTATTTAAGGTTCAGTGTGTAACATTTAGGAGGATGTATAGGAAGAAATGGAATATAATATTCATAGGTATGTTTTCATTGGTGTATAATCAGCTTGAATAGAGTGGTTGTGTTTTTGTTACCTTAAAATGATACACACACACTTTACAGCCCGTTCTCATTCTCAGGTTGTCAAATGCAGACTCGAGCGGTATTCAGTTAGTTGCAATCTGCAACTTCTCGACTAGATGCCACTGAATTCTACACACTGGCCCTTTAAGTTATTAACAGTACCTTTGCTAATTTTGATAAGTAAGCAATTTTTACATCAATTAAAATAATGTATCCTAACACATCCTTTTTTTCTGAGCTGATTATGGAAGTAGCTAACAAGTGCACTTGTTTTCTTCTCATCTCTATTGAGAGTTGCACATCACTTATCAGGCAGGATGTACTACGGCATGAACACAAGGTATCCATACACTTTCTGAAGTACAGCCAATCATAATGTGTTAATTTGTTATGGCATCTGTAAATGCAGGACCCCGAGCAGATCTTCCAGGCTACATCTGGTACCTATACCAATTCAATAGCAATAAGTTCACAGCCAAGGCTTGATGATGATTTTTTAGTCCTATGAGTCGCTGTTAGTGTCAGCAGCTACTACTAACCCTCATCTTAATGCTACATCTTTCTGGGCTGACGCTGCTGTTGAGTCTGACACCACTGTGGATGATTTAGGAGAAGATGGGCCTAAACAGGTCGGTCTCCACTCCTATGCCAAGGGGCTGTTTTAGAGTAAGAAGATATGTTTTCTTGCTGCTTGGGACTGGCTGGAGTGAGGTGCTTCTCCTTGCATTTATTTACACCTTAGTGATCCCTCCTTGTGTGTTTAGTCTGATTGATAGGAAATAAAGTGACAAGAATTCATTTTTGTGTCATTTTCATAGTATTTTGTCCTGGGGAGCAAATATATTTTTTTTCACAATGCATGACTACACTTGCCAATAATTTGGTGCGTCCCTGCTGATATTTGTTCTAGCTCTGACACTGACAGTTGGTGAAAGGTGGGGAGCAGAAATAATGAAACTCAGAGAGGGGGAACAAGGTGAAGAAGATGAGAAGATAAACCATAGGAACTTTACCATCATCTGCTGAGGCATATATCTGGTTTTCCTCCATTTGAAGCTTAGCAGAGCCTGAGCCACCACCTCTCTGAGAGAGACAGAGCAAGGAGAGCAGAGGGAAGTTGTTAAATCAGATTAGAAAATAATGCCTGTGTATCTGTAAAAAACAGAGTTATACGCTAGCTACAAAAATGGCCTGTTTTGCCTTTACAATTAGCAAGGTACAGCTTCTCACCTGAAATGTGCTGTGACACAGTTTTTCTACCCACTCCACACAGTCGTCTTTGAGTGCAGCAAACACCATTGTTCTGTCCCGTGCCTCCACACAAAAGGCTGACATGTTCTCCTGCAAATGGCACAGATGGCAGCTTGAAGTATTTATCTGACTATATTTCTGATACGTGTGAACATTAGAAAACAACCAGAGAGGCTGACCATGGGGCAGGCCTCAGCGTTTGGGGGGAGCCTGAGGACACTGATAAGCTCGGACAGCAGGACCACCTTTAGCTTCCTGTCCGTGTGAGGCTGGTGGTGTCTCCGGACCCCAGTGCCGTGCTCACCTCCACCACCAATACCTGGAGGATACATGATGGACAAAAAGACACAGGAGTGTTAAAGGCATACTATGCAGGACATCATCAGTGTCTGTACCTGCAGAGACCCTGCAGCCCTTAAATATGCACTTGTAAAGTATTTATGATATATATTAACTTATTATCATTTGGGCAATTCAATTTTCAATTCAATTCAATTCAATTCAATTCAATTCAATTCAATAGCCAATTCATAACAGAAGTTATCTCAGGACATTTTTCAAATAGAGCAGACCGAGACCGAACTCTTTATAACATTATTTACATTCTGGGTTTTTGAATAATGGCTGACTTTGATGGTGAAGCTGACTCTCAAGGTCCAAAGGTCTTAAAACAAAAAATACAACGATGCTTCTTGGGTTTGGAATTTATATTCCATTGTGGGAAAGTGTGGCTGAGATCATAAATCAGAATTATTGACAATAAAGTTCAATAGAGGAAACTTAAGAATAAAAAATAAAGATTGTCATATAAAATGAAAAAACTTGAAACTGTAAGGAGGAGCAATTTTAAGATTCAAAATGCAAAATTACAGCAAAAAACAGTACCACCACAAATGGAGCGAAGCCGCGAAGCTAGTTAGCAAGTTCAAACTGAGGCTTGTGACTGCGTTCATACACACAACATGCCTCACCTCAATAAATCACTAACCAAGCGCACCCTATCCAATCGGGAGGTATTATCAAAACATTAACAAATATCCCATCTCCCCTCTGCTCTGTCAATGGCTGATTGCCCAGCATCCGTAATGTGCTAGCTGCTCTGTAAGCTATTGCTGTTCTTGCTGCGCTGTAAGCCCCCACAA